CTTTCGATGTCGTCTTTATGTCCTCAATCGTAGCGTAACGTCGTCCTTTCACGGGCCTCTTCAGTTTCGGGAACAAGAAAAAGTCACAGAGGACCTGATCTGGTTAATACAGTGGCTGCGGCATTGTAAGTGTGTTCTTTTTGGCGAAAAATTGGTGCACAAGCAACGATGTGTGAACAGGGGTGTTATCGTGGTGCAAAAGCTCATTTTTGTTATTCCACAAATTTGGATGATGTGACGGATTGCTTTCCGCAGATTACGCATAACTGGTAAATAATATTCCATATTGAACGTTCTATTCTGTGGCAAGAACTCATGATGCACCACGCCCCTGCAAGAAAACTGTAAACAAAACCTTCACATTCAACCTAACCTGGTCTTGGCTCGTGCGGCAGCTTCCATTGGGATGATTGAGTTTCGGTTTCCATGCCATAACTATAAACATAAAAATTCGTCACCAATTATGACCCTCCGGAACAAAGTCCAACAGCTCCTTAACAATGTTAATACGATGCTGTTTTTGGTCGAAATCGAGCAATTTTGGCATGAATTTTGCAGCGATCCGTATCATGCCAAAATCATCGGTAAAAATCGAATGGCAGGAGCCAATCCATATGTTTAGCTCCTCAGCAACTTCTTCCCTTCATCAATGTTTTCGTCTGTTGCTGACGTATTCGCACGTTCGGCAAGCTCTCCGTCTTTCCCATCTTCTCGGTCGTCTGAGAACATTTTGTCCCACCGATAAACATTTCTTCGGTCCAATGTAGCTTCACCATATGCCACAGTCACATTCGGAATGCGTCCGCCCACTTAATTTTATTTTTTTACACAAAATTTGATACATTCTTTGATCCATTTTTTGGAATAGACAAAAATCGAAGACGAGTGCAAGCAAAGAAGTTGTCAAAAATTAACTGAACATTCAACGTGACCAAACTTGTCGGTATAAGTGAGAAACATGAGTACCTACCAACATAATGCCACAAAAAATCGAAAATCGAATTTACGTAACCCGCGGAAATTGAAAATTCTCGATACTTTGTGAACAGACCTCGTATATCTTTCATTTGAGAGGCACCACTCACAAAAACTTCACGAAAAATATATCTATTGCATAATGACGTGCGTTTCAGTCACGCACGCTTGCGCTGTGTAGACGAGCTAGCCGCACTCATTTTAATTTTTAAATAGCCCTTTCAAATTTTGCCGAATGTTTCATAAACACCCTGTATACATATAGATGCATAGATCATTTTATTGCGAGAAAGGAACACTGAGTAAAGTAATTTTTAATTCAATAAATTAAATAAACTATACGCTTTCTGATGAACATCTGTAAGTAGGTAGGTACTTAATAACGTTTTTAAAAAAGGGTTTAGAGGAATCCTCAGTTTTTACTCAACAGCGTCCTTATATTCTCTCCTTTTTTCTTTTCAAAGCAACTTCGCGATGCCGTCGTCAAAATTCTCTAACGATGTGTAATAAAAGGAAAAAGAAAAACACATAATGAACAGGAAGAGAGCGCTAATCAATACGGAGTGGTATACGTCAAGACCTTTTAGGAAGATTAACAAGAATCAACTAATGGCTCCAACGTTATTAATTAAAAGATTGTTGAACATAGTTATGTACCTACATATATCCATGAATGAAAGTTTAGATATTTTAATTTCATTACAATAATATGAATAAAAAATAGTTTAAGAGTAAAATTAGTCAAATAATAAAAATTTTCTTACTTATCCTTTCTTTCTTAGGATAAAACAATAAAGCTGTCACAACTAAGGATTCAAAATCAGGCATTTGCAAAGTAAAACGTGCAGGTGTTTTAAAGATGGGATTAAAGAACAGAAAATACTATTATAGTTGAAGCAGGAACTCTAATTAAAAATATGAGAGTATTTATTGGAATGCTTAGACATTAATAAATTGAACTAGATTTAAATAAATCTCTGTTAAAAATTTACTACTCCATTCAGCAGTTATTCAACCCTAGTCTTAATGTGTGCAATGTGCGTGCCGTTGAAACTCAAAAATGAGTCCCGGAACGACCAAGAGAGTTATGTGGTGTGGTAACCTTCCCGTCCATGAAGAAGGTTCCCGTTTTTATCTGAACGGCATACTTTAAAGATATAAGAGCTGGTTTCGCCCTTTAGAAATTTCTAGAATAGTTCAAAACATTCAATAGTATTCGAGAGCTTTCTGAAATGTTGTGGAATGTTCGGGAACATTCCAGATCATTGTGGAACGTTTCAAAACACTCTCGAATGTTGTGGAATATTCTGCAACATTGTGGACCATTGTATGGGCGGAGCCATCTTTTGGTAGGAGTATGTAAAGCAAGATCCGTCATGGGTTCCAACGTTCGGAAACAAAAAAAAAAAATTTGTACCTCTCATATTTTAAAGTTTATCCTTTTATTCCAACTACTGCACAACCTCATATCAACTCCCTGAACGTAGCCGGGTATCTCAACTAGTTTAACCATAAAAACCAATATGTTAATAGTTTCACAATGAGTTTATTTTCCTTCATTTAACTTCCTCAATTCACTTTTTGAGGTACCTAATTTTTCACTGTGGGCACGTGTTTCGTCCGTATATATTAGGAATTGCAGCCTACTTTAGCGCGTAAAATAATTTTCTTTACTAACGACTTGAAAACGCCAATTAGAGAATGCTTTTCTTTTGTATTCTTCAACTCTTTTCTGCGCTTTAGCTTCTAATATTTCCCTATTGTTCCGAATAAACGAACTACGCCGTCTGTGAGTTATTGCATGGCACTTTTCCAAAAGTCCTTTTTATGTTCGAGACGGAAGTTCATTCAGTGTCCGTAGCAATTCCTCAAAAGTAACCAAACGTGAAAAGGATTGAGTGTAATTCGATAATATTATTAGTTAACTTCTGAAAACGACTCAGATTCGAGAGAAGTGAGTAAATATAACATCATGTCCAATAAATAGCACAAAAAAGTTTACTTGGGAAGTTCAGAATTGGCATAGTCCGCTGCTGACAAGACGTCTCCCGTAGGAAAAATTTCCATTCAATTTCCATTAAAAGAATAATAACAATAATTGTTTTTTTTATAACTAGAACTTTAAAACTTACCAAAAGTAAAATACAGACGGGAACTATGCAGTACACTAAATGATCAACCTAATTCAACAGTTACAAATGGTTTTTCATCGATACCAGTAAAAGGTGGAGTATTGACGCCTATAAGCTCCTAATCTTTCCGTTATCTGTTTGATAACAAATTTTCAGAATAGTGGACTTATTCACAACTGTTGCTAATATCGATATTGTGCACCTTATATCTATCTAAATTAAACAAACTAGCAATTTCAAGAAATAAATTCTCGTTGAAAAATCGCTTTGAATTTTCCTGTTACGTCACAAAAATGTTATTATTAATATTACTTTACCCACACACATCACTTCTATGTAATCATATCAATAAAATATAATCCATTAGGTTCTAATATTTTTTTAAGTAAATGCCATTTCAAAAAAAATTACCACTGATAATAATTAATGGTAATAAATGGAGAATTGCCAATGGGATTCCCATTCCCGAACTCAATGGGATTTCCATTGCTGAACGCAATGGCATTACCATTGC